ATTTCTTTCTATTTTTAGTAGAGACGGGGTCTCGCTCTTGCTCAGGCTGGTCTTGAACTCCTGAGCTCAAACAATCCGCCCTCCTTGGCCTCCCAGAGTGCTAGGATTACAGGCGTGAGCCACTGCGCCCGGCCTAAAGATTTTTTAATTGATATATAATAATTGTACATATTTTTGGACTACATGTGATATTTTGATACATTCTTGCAATGTGTAATGATCAAATCAGGCTAATTGGGATATCCATCACCTTAAACATTTATCTTTTCTTTTTGTTGGGAACATTATAACTCTTCTACCTATTTTGAAATATACAATAAATTATCGTCAATTATAATTTCCATACTGTACTATTGAATATTAGAACTTATTCCTTCTAGCTAACTGCATTTTTCTACCCATTAACCAACTTCTCATCATTCTCCCTCACACCCCTTCCCAGCCTTTGGTAAGCACCATTCTACTCTGTAGATGAGATCCACTTTTTTAGCTTCCAGATATGAGTGAGAACATACCATATTTGTCTTTCTGTGCCTGGCTTATTTCACTTAACGTAATGACCTCCAGCTCCATCCATGTTGCTGTGAATGACAGGGTTTCATTCTTTTATTATGGCTGACTAATATTATATATTATATATACCGTATTGTCTTTATTTATCTGTTGATGGACACTTAAGTTGATTCCATATCTTTTCTATTGCGAATAGTGCTACAATAAATGTGGGAGTGCAGATATCTTTTTCAGAGGTCCCCAACCTTTTTGGCAACAGGGGACAGCTTCATGGAAGACAGTTTTTCCCCAGACAGCGGGGGGGGGGAGGTGGAGTGGATGGCTGCAGAATTCTGTGGCCCAGTCCCTAACATGCTGCTGACTTGTACCAGTGTGAAGCCTGGGGGTTGGGGACCATAGTCTTTTTGATATACCGATTTCCTTTCTTTTGGATATATACGTAACATTGGAAATTGTTGGATCCTATGGTAGTTCTATTTTTAGTTTTTTGTTTGTTTGTTTTTTATTTTTTTTTATTTCTGCATATTGTGGGGGTACAAATGTTTATGTTACGTTGCCCTTGCCCCTCCCCCCAGTCAGAATTTCAAGCGTGTCCATTTCCCAGATGGTGCGCATCACACTTATTATGTATGTATATAGCCATCCCCTTCTCTCCCCTCCCATCTGCCTGATGCCCGATAAATGTTAGTCCTATATGTCCACTTAGGTGTTGATCAGTGAAACTATTTTTAGTTTTTTGAGGAACCTTGTACTGTTTTTCATGATGACTGTACTACTTTATATTCCCACCAACAGTGTACAAGCATTCCCCTCTCTCTACATCCTTGCCAATATTTATTATTTTTCTTTTTTGTGGAGACGAGGTTTCACTGTGTTGCCCAGGCTGTTCTGGAATGCTTGGCTTCAAGCGATCCTCTGCCTCAGCCTCCAAAGTGCTGGGATTATAAGCGTGAGCCACTGTACCCTTCCCAGTATTTGTTATGTTTTGAACTTTTGATAATAGCCATTTTAACTGGATTTAGATGATATCTCAGTTGGTTTTGATTTGCATTTCCCTGATGATTAATGATGTTAAGCATGTTTTCATATACCTGTTGACTATTTGTATGCCTTCATTTGAGAAATGTCTATTCAAGTCTTTTGCCCATTTTTTAATCAGAATTTCTTTTTTTTTGCTATTGTTTGAGTACTTTATATATTCTCATTATTAATCCTTTGTCGGATGGATAGTTTGCAAATATTGTCTCCCATTATATAGGTTGTCTTTTTTACTTTATTGTTTCCTTTGCTGTGCATTGAAAGGAAGGCAATTTATATTGCCTTCATTTCTAGATTAAGGCCAATTTTTAATTTACATTAATTTCAAATTCCCTTACCAAGCCATTTCTTCATTTTTTTAAAACTGAATGTTTAAGTGACATGATTGGTGTTGAGAAATGTTTTTCACTAAAGTGCATTGCGAATACACTTAAAGTACAGAGACTATATTGGATTAAATTGATGATTGATCTCGTTTAGTAAGTGATCTCTGATAATGATTCTAGGGAACACTTTCTCCAAACATTAGCATGTTGACTGCCATACTAGAAAAAAAATTTTTTTCCTTGGGGCCACAGTGTTTTATTATGAAAATAGAATAAAAAACTTCAAAAACAAAACAATCCTTTCTAATTTAATGAAAAATTTGTTATTTTTTTATTGTTTTCTATGTGTGAGTTATATGCAGTTAAATTGTCAATTTTTTTTTTTTAAGACAGAGTCTCACTGTGTTGCCCGGGCTAGAGTGCCGTGGCGTCATCCTAGCTCACAGCAACCTCAAACTCCTGGGCTCAAGTGATCCTCCTGCCTCAGCCTCCCGAGTAGCTGGGACTACAGGCATGCGCCACCATGCCCGGCTAATTTTTTTTATATATTTTTTTAGTTGTCCAATTAATTTCTTTCTAATTTTAGTAGAGACGGGGTCTCGCTCTTGCTCAGGCTGGTTTCGAACTCCTGAGCTCAAACAATCTGCCCGCCTCGGCCTCCCAGAGTGCTAGGATTACAGGCGTGAGCCACCGCGCCCGGCCCAAATTGTCAATATTAATTGTAACAATAAGAACGTGAACAAGTAAGATTTTCACAAACCAACTGAAGGGTTTTGCCCAGGGGGCCACCCGTCGCAAAACATGTATGGTACAGCATGGCTGTATGAGGTACCTGCTCAACATGCAGCTCCCAAGGTAAAGAGACATGTGAGTTACATGTGCTTCACAAGGCCCCACGCTCAACACTAGCGTAAGTTAAATATAATTCACATGGCAATTTAATATGTTAAAGACGAACCTGTTTACATCATTGACTTCTCCTAATTAGTAATTTTAGGTTATTTTCCATGTATAATTTAATCCTTTTTTGGTCTTACAGAATTATAGAATTTGCCACTGGAAAGAACTTTGTGCATTCATTTATTCCACAAGCATTTCAGTGTCTCTTGTGTGCTGGGCATCATTGTTCTGGGTGCTGATAATACAGGAATAAACAAAATCCTGTTATTGTTGAGGTTATATTCTAATTGTGCGAACATGATTGTAAACGAGAAATAAGTTGAGTAAACGAGTAGAGAGAAGTAAAGTGGGGGGAAGTAGAGAGTATCATGATTAGGGATTCAATTTTTAATTAGCAGTGACCAGAGAATGCTTCATTGAGGGTACCATTGGAGAAAAGACCTGAAAGAAAGGAAGGGGCATTTCAAGCAGATGTCCAGGAAGAGGGAACAATGATTAAAAAACACCAAGGCAAGAGTATGCCTGGCTTGCTTGAGGAACGGTAAAGAGGCAATGTGGGACAGAGAGGAAGAATGGTAGATGTATGGGAGGTAAAGGCTGAGGGAGAAGAAAGATAGGTTATGTAGGGCTATTGTAAAGATTTTGATTTTTACCCTAAATGAGCCTTTAAAATAATAGTGACCTTCGGAGGTCAGCTGCTCCTAATGCTCTCATTTATAATTGACTAAATAGACCTAGAGGATTTAAATGACTTACTTGAAGTAACATTGGCAGTTTAGTTTTTAGGATTTATCACTTTCAGACCAGCAAATTCCTGCATTTATATAAGCAGTCTTTCCTGAAAGAAACTTTTTATTAATATATTTCAAATTGTTTTATGCTTAGCCTTTGGATTTCTTAATGAGAAAGATCTAATTTTACATTTCTTGGGTGGAAATCCATCACCTCCCACTTTTTTAACCTTTTTTAGTTCTTGACATTTATTCCAGCTGTTAGCTGTGCTGTAAGTAAGAGTATCTATCTCTGTATAGTTTTTAAATTAGCTTATTCTTATGTCCAGACTTCTGTATCCATTTTAACCTCAGCACATTGGGCTTATGTATATTTTATTCTTAAATAGCTTTGCATAATCACACTTGATTATAAATAGCTTATACTTAAGTTAAATATGTTTTCCCAAATACATTAGCCAACACTGACACAGTATTAGCCAGCATCATAACCTTGTTAGAAATTCCTTCAGATCTCCTTGATGTTTTACTGCCAGAGCTTAGTAAGGTTGGTACATTTGGAAATGTGTGAACTACTTTCTCTTCTAGCTAATTTATTTAGAAATATTACTTAAGATTAGTTTTTAATATAGATCTTTCAAAGGACTCATTATAGATACTTACATACCCCATCATTCTTTATAAAAATCGAGGTTTATGCTAGTTTTTAAACTTCTTAATTCAGATCCTTATCAGCTACTAAAATATTTTCCAGGAAACCCTAAGATAGCTGTTTGGGTTGCTTTGGGAGCTGTGGCTGCTGTAGTGACTATTAAAACGTTGTCTTTGTCTGATTTGGCAGATACAAATGGGTTATATTGAAAACCTTATGACTTTGGCTTTCAATAAACCCTTTTCAATGATCTTTCAGGCATGTAGTAGAATAGATTCTCGCCCTCAAGCCTTCTTTTGATCCAGAAGGACTAGGGTGGTTATGACTATTGTATATTTGTTCATACTTTGGAGACCAGTGAAGGCATTTGTTTAAAGTGCTGTTATGAAATCCATCTGCAGCTACTGACATTTTTTTTGGTATCTAGTTATTTCTCTGAATATTACTTTTGAAGTAGCATAAAATTACATACTAGAATCAATGAATGAAAAAAGACTAATATTATTGTAATATTCCCCAGGCCATACAGAAAATGGAAGCTTTAAAGCTTTTATGTTTTTCCTTTCTTATCAGCAATGTGTAATTTTGTTTTACATGCATGTTTTTATAGCCTTTTGAACATAGAATTGGTTTCTGTCTAAAATTGTTTGATTTAACAGCTGTTATATCAACAAGGAATTCTGGTTTTGTTCTTCAATGTGATTTGTACTTTATTCTAGACATGAAAATAAACCATATGTTCCCAGTCCAGCACAAATGATAAGAAGGAAATTCCAAAAGGCTAAGCCAAATTTGGGAAGAGCACATGGTAAGAAAGAGGATTCAGATGTAGAAAAAGGCGCAGCAGATCAGAGTGAAGCAAGCAAGCCAGAAGATAATTTACTGCTACAACAAGGAGATTCTGACACCCAGCTCCTTCTGAAAGTAAGTTGGGAAAAAATTTTTTTTTAAACTTTTGTACTGTAACTATTTTCATGAAAAGTGAGTGCCTTTCTAGTATTATAAAAATTTAGCAACTTACCACTTGTGTGTATGTGTAAGCTTAGAGGTTTAGGCCAAACCACAAAATGAAATTAACATAAAGATTGTTTCTGGAGTAATATTAGCTAATTTCTTCTTAAATTTAAGGAAAAGGCTGAATTTCTGACATCTCTGGAGGTTTCAGCAAGAAAAGATTATATAGGTGCCAAAGAGTCTGATTTGGCCCAAAAACGTGCTGAATTAGAAGTTGGACCATCGGGAAAGGTTGGAGAGGAAATTATAGGAGATAATTCTATGTCTTCAATCGTTGAAGAGCAGTATCTTAGTAAAATAACAAGGTAACGTTTTATTTAACAAATACTTTCAGAGTAGGAAATAAAAATCACTTACTCTTTATAAATGTTCTACCTTAACTTACTCATAGAACAGAAAGATGGCTTGTTAATAGAAGTAGAGCCTGTTTTTATTGACAGGTCTGTTTTTTCCCATTTGATTTTTATTTACTACAATTTATTTTTTTATGGTCTTCTTAGGGGGATTTTTCTTTCTCAAGTTTAAAATTTCTTGGTGTTGAGTCTATTAGACATGAATAGAAGTCTGACCAAAGAGGTAGTGTGTATCACCTAAGTAATTAGGGTGCTAATTCAAATGGGGTCGCAAACACAAATGAAGAGTACCCTACTTCTGTGGTTTTCAAAGAAAGTAGAAGGGAACCTAAGTTCTAAAAAATAGCATTGCTTTGATGGATTTCTGCCTCCTCCCTTTTAACCTAATCTGTTTGTCCAGGAGAATAAATCAATATCACTTTTCAATCCCCTATTCTGTATTGGTTCTATGTCTTTTATCCCTTTTTCTTCTAATAATTTTTAGTTTTGTATTTATTTCATCTCTACATTCATATTATGGAAAAATCAGCCCAGAATTGAAAACTTACTATGAAAAATTTAGAGTTAGATAACTAAGAATTAACTCTGAATGAGAAACTAAGTAATAGTTATTTCCTTTCTTATTTTTACAACATAAGGTTTTAAAAGAACAGATGGTGGTAGTTCTCATTTTAATGACTGGAACTGGGATTTCACTCTTCTTTGGTTTTTATTAAAATTATCCTTGTGTGTATATGACCAAAATTCTTATTTTGCTTAAACATCCAGGTGTCCACAACTGTTAAAAGAATCAAATTCCTCCAAAATTGCTCCTGATCGAAGAACTATCTCTTCTGCATCTGAGTGTGAGATAGATCATAGTGAGAGGAGAATGCATAGAAAGATTAAACCAAATGTCACCAAAGGGCGTGGATCAAAACGAATTCGGGGTAAGACCGCTAAGAAGGAACCTAGGGCTTCCAAGGCCATGCTGGTGACTCTTCGGGCTTCCCAGGAAGATGACGATGATGCTGAGGATTTTGAGTCTGACTATGAAGAAGAAAGCTATCATCTTGCCCCAGAAGAAGTAAACAAAGCTCCAGTGTTTGTACCTGTTGGTCTCAGATCTCCTGAACCTGTTTCTGCCCAGATTGAGGAAACAATGGAAGAGGTAGTTTGTTTTTTTGAATCCTTGGCATTTTATCTTACTTGGTTCTTTCTCTCCTTTTTCTTTTAGTGGATCATTATTTATTCTCTTAGTGATTATTGGGATTTGAAGAGTTCATTCTCTAAATAACCTCTACCAAATATAATTTGTTTGGGGCCTAGTGAATAGCTTGAGAAATCAATAGAAGTGGGCTGTGTGACCTTTTGTGATTATTCAGCCCCTGTGGCCCAAGTCCAGTAAGGGAATGAGTATAACAATAATGATAGAAATCTGCTTGCACTTGTATTTGGGAACTGCTTAATCTACTTTCTGATTAATTTTTAAAACATTTTGGCAGGTTTTTTTCTATTAACTCTTTGTAATAAGCTCAGGCTGAGTTCTGGTTGGTAGAGAAGATAGAAGGGACATATTCTTTTAAAAATTGTAAAATACATATAAAATTTACCATCTTAACTATTTTTAAGTGTATATAGTTCAGTGGCATTAAGTACATTCATATGTACGTATTGTACTACCCATCACCAACATCCATCCACAGAACTATTTTCATCTTGTAAAACAAATTCTGTACCCATTAAACCCTCCCACCTCACCCCTGCCCCCAGCCGTTGGTAGCCACCATTCTACTTTTTGACTCTATGAATTTGACTACTCTAGGAACCTCATATAATCATACAGTAATTGTTTTATTTGGGGTTGTAGGACAGGGTAGTTGTGGCAGGGGGATGGGATAATAAATCTTCAATTCATCTCTATTATAGCATTTATGACAATGTATAGTTAGTTGATTACATGTCTGATTTCTTAGATTCTAAGTTCATGTAGGGCAGGAACCAAACTTGCCTTATTTGACCTTGTATCCCTCTAGTTTTTAGGAAGTACTCCATAGATGTTAACAGACTGATGAGAGAAATTAGGGGAAAGTTAGGGCAAAGTAGGGAAAATGGTAAATGAAATGTCAGACACTAGGAAGATTAGCCTTAGAAATTTTGCTTACTGGTTGTATTAGTCACAGACTCCCTGAAAAACATTAAATGTTTTACTTTTATCAAGTTGCTGTCAATCAGTTTAAGAATTAGTACATTTCGGGCTGGGCAAAGTGGCTCCTGCGTGTAATCCCAGCACTTTGGGAGACCAAAGCAGGAGTATCACTTGAGCCCAGGAGTTCGAGACCAGCCTGGGCAACATAGCAAGACCCCATCTCTAAAAAAAAAAAAAAAATTAAAAATTAGCTGGACATGGTGGTAGTGAGTGCCTGGCTACTCAGGAGGCTGAGGCAGGAGAATGTTTGAACCCAGGAATTTGAGGTAGCAGTGACCTGTGATCATGCCACTGTACTCCAGCCTGGACAACAGAATGAGACTGTGTCTGTATGAAAAAAAGAATTACTACATTTCAGTTTCTTCTCTTGCTTTTTTTTAAATTTTTTTTGAGACAAGTTTTCTCTCTGTTGCCTGAGCTAGAGTGCAGTGGCATCATCATAGCTCACTGCAACCACACTCCTAGGCTCAAGCAATCCTCCTGCCTCAGCCTCCAGAGTAGCTGGGACTACAGGCACATGCCACCACACCTGGGTAATTTTTCTATTTTTTTGTAGAGACAAAATCTTGCTATGTTGCCCAGGCTGGTCTTGAACTCCTGGCCTCAAGTGATCTCCTTACCTCAGTCTCCTCAAGTGCTGGGATTATAGGCATGAGCCAGGCCCATTTTAGTTTCTTAATTGTGTATGAATATGGATTATTTCTTCATTTTAACATTTCATTTTACTTATTCATGTGGAAAATGAGGTTTTTGTTTTGCTGTTTATAGTATGCCAAAATGAAATAATAAAACTTTTTTTGACAGCTTGAAATAACTGTAAATGTCCCAGATATAGGATGCGTAGCTGTTGTTCAGCATCAGCTCTCAAACACAGATGTGACTACTCAGGAAATGAAACAAGAAGAAAATTTGAATGCATCGTCATTTGTAAGCATCTATTTTAATGTTTTGGCCTTGTATTCTTTGTTTACTTTAAAAAACAGGAGGTTTATTTTGAACCTTTAGGTTTATAAATAGTTCTTAGCTAATTTCTTTTATGTAGGGAGCTCTGAGTATGACTAATAAAAACTAGTGAATAATCCATAGATTTTATATTTGACTTGGAAAGCATTGATTGTTTTTTTCTTTTTGTATGTGGGTAAAGCTTTTAATATCCTTATAGAATTTTTTTCTTTTTTGTGAGACAGCATCTTGCTTTGTCGCCCAGACAGAAGTACAGTGGCCGGCTGGTTCATAGCTCTTTGTAGCCTCAAACTTTGGGCTCAAGTGATCTTCCCACTTTTGCATCCCTAGTAGCTAGGACTATAGGTGTGCACCACTGCACTCCACTAATTTTCTAAAAAATGTTTTCTGTAGAGATGCAGTCTTGCTATATTGCCCAGGCTCCCACCTTGGCCTCCCAAAATGCTGGGACCGCATAGACTTTTACATTAAAATTCTGTTGCATTAAATTTATGTTAAATATAAATTACTTAAAATATATTTAGTTGTATTTTGTTTGCATTCTTCCATATTTGGCATTTATTTTGTTTTTGCAAGTGAAGAGCTGGAATTGTAACTTTTTAAAACAGCTTTATTGAGATATGATTCATACACCATACAATTCACCCATTTAAAGTGCATGATTCAAGGCCGGGCGCAGTGGCTCATGCCTATAACTCTAGCACTCTGGGAGGCCGAGGCAGGAGGATCGCTCGAGGTCATAAGTTCGAGACCAGCCTGAGCAAAGAGCGAGACCCCATCTCTACTAAAAAAAAAATAGAAAGAAATTAGCTGGACAACTAAAAATATATAGAAAAAATTAACCGGGCATGGTGGCGCATGCCTGTAATCCCA